TATTCCGTGTTTCCCTCCAGATGTTGACGTCTTCATGATCCAGTCGATAATCAGGAGAAAGAGAAAGGGTAAGGTTGAGAGTAAGCAACCTTGTTTGGCTCCATTCTTTCTTTCAAACGAGTCTGTGGGCTGTCCTTCATGCACGATTTTGCAGTTTAATCCATCATAAGAATTCCGTATGTTGTTGACTAACTTCTCAGGCACGCCATAGTTTCGACCTGTTAGTGCAACCAAATGCATTCTTGCAGTCTAGTTTATTTAGAGTGGTGAATTCCATTCAAGTGATTGTTCTACAATGTTCCGTAGTGTTGCAATCTGGTCGGTACACTATTGATTCTTATGAAATCCAGCCTGTTGGTCTCGAATTTAGGCGTCTACGGAGTCCTTCATTCTGTTTAACAATACCTTGTTGAAGAAGTTACCTGGTATTGAGAGAAGGGTGGTGCCTCTGTAGTTCTCACACTTGATGAGATCACCTTTCTTTGATATCTTGATGATGTGTCCTCCTTTCCAGTCTGTTGGTTCTTGTTCTTCATCCCAAATCTTATTGAAGATAATGTTTCAGTTTCAGTTTCAGTTTCAGTTTGGGAAGGACAGGAGGCTCGATGGCCTATGTTAGTCCTGGCAATGGTGGTCTCTCAGTTGATCCAACTTTCTTTTGAAAGAGTCGACGGATGGAGCCTCAACCACGTGCTGAGGTAGTGAATTCCACTCGTTGATGATTCGATGGGAAAGTCGATAGTCAGCTGACAAGTAATTTGTTCTCGGCTTATGAACTTTTTTGGAGTGTCCTCGTAAATTCTCTGTTTTGGAAGACAAGAAAAATGAGGGCATGTTAGGTGCGAATTTATCACTAAGCAATTTGTAGACTGTAATCAAGTCGCCTCTAGTTCTGCGATATGACAACGGGAAAAGGTTCAGCTTGGTCAGTCGAGATTCATACGGAAGCTTCGCTATTGCGGGAACCAGCTTAGTCGCCATTCTCTGAACCTTTTCCAGAAGCTCTCTGTCTTTTTTAAAGCAGGGGCTAGCCGCTTGTATGCAGTACTCAAGTTTAGGACGAACGAACACTGTATACAAAGTCATAAACGTCTTAGTGTCGACATGACTAAAAGCCCTACGTATTGACCATAACGTTCTAAACCTTTTGGCGGCTATTGCACGGCAGTGTGCAGTAGTCTTTAAGTCTTGACTAACGATAACTCCTAAGTCATTATATGTCTGGACGACAGGTAGCTCAGTGTTATTCATCGTGTATGTATCTGTGCCTTGATGACCGATATGCATCACAACACACTTGGAAGTATTTATCGGCAACTGCCATGTTTGAGACCATTCAGATAACTTCTTCAAGTCATTTTGAAGTTCTAAGCTATCACTCTTACATCGTATCGTTCTCCATATCTTGACATCGTCAGCATATAGCAAGACCGATGATGATAGGAGACAAGGAAGGTCATTTACATACAAGAGGAATAGCACTGGCCCCAAAACTGTACCCTGGGGCACTCCACTAAGCACAGTTTCCCAGCTAGATAACTTTGAGTTCACCCTTACTCTTTGTTGACGCCCAACTAAGAAGTCTTTTATCCACATCAATAAATTACCTCCAATCCCGACATGTCTTAACTTATATAACAGCCGGTTGTGCGGAACTTTATCAAAAGCTTTACTGAAATCAATGAAGGCGACGTCTACAGGTAGCTTTTGGTCCTTAAGAGCACACCAGCTTTCACGAGCCACTAATAAGTTAGTGAGACAAGAATAACCTATTCTGAAGCCATGCTGCTTCTCCGAGAGGATCCGGTTTTTATCGAGATACTTAAACAGCTCCTTCCGAATAATCTTTTCTAATATTTTAACAACCACACTAGTTAGGCTAACGGGGCGGTAGTTCTCAGGTTTGTGTTTCGTGCCTGTTTTGAAGACAGGACTTACTATGGCGTTTTTCCAATCTTTCGGTAAGCGACCCTGCGTAACGGATAGGTTAAAGCATGTACTTAAAGGGTTCGCAACGAAGTTAGATAATTCCTTCAGTAGCCTAGGATGTAATTCATCGGGCCCCGTGGATTTACCTATGTCAAGCTTATTTAGCAGACCAAAGACATCGAGTTCTTTAATGGTCACGCTATCCAGTGTATGTATGGGGGGATCTGCATACGCTGACGAGAAGGGCGCTTCTATGGTATACACGTTGCCAAAGTAGTTCGAGAACGCTTGAGCCTTACCAAAGTCGTCCTCCACTAATGATGAAGCAGTACTTTCTCCCCATAGAGCAGGAATATTTCCTTTTCTCCTTGTCCTTTGGTTTATATAGGAATACAAGCGTTTAGGACATTCTATGGATTCCTTAACAAGTTTTTCTTCGTACAATTTTCTAGACTTACGGAGGGTCGAGGCACAAGTGTTCCGAGCCTTTCGATACTGAGATTTTGACTCATCAGTCCCCAGTAACCTAAATCTATCCCACGTTTTCCTTTTCTTACGGAGAAGGATACGGACCTCCCTACTGAACCATGGTGGTGAGTTTTTCGGCCCCTTTGGTATAGTCCAAGGGATGTGAGGTGTGGTAACTTTTAAGTATGATTTTCGAAATGTGTCCCAGGCCGTTTCAATGGAGGACTCTGGGTCTATTGTCCAATCTATTAACGATGCTGAGTGCATGATGTCTGGTATGTTTGCTTTCCAGACGTTGGGTCTGGACTGGACTGACGCGTCCTCATGACTGGCAGTTATATGGAAGTCGAAAGTTAAAACTGCGTGGTCACTTTTACCTAAGGGTGGCATATGGTGGAGGTTCGCAACATCATCCTCATAGTGAGTCAGTATAAGATCTAATAAGGATGATTCAGTGTCCGGGTCGTACCTAGTCGCTTCTTTCACATGTTGCACTAGGGCACATGTGATAACCGCATCAACTAGTTCCTGCTCGAAGGAATTTTCTGACGATTCAGTTCGCAGATTTTCCCAGTCTACCATTGGTACATTAAAGTCCCCTAGGATTAGACATCGACCACTTTGGGACCAAGTATTGAGACTGCTTAACAGGATCTCATTTGCCTCACAGCTTGGACTGCGATAGACCAAACCAATCAGCAGCTCTTGTCCCTTGCATTTTAAGCGAAGACTAACTAATTCACACGTCCCACTCTCATGGGATACACTATCGATAATGGTAAATGGGATAGCATTCCTAATGAATAGAGCTACTCCCCCTCCTTTGCGCTTTTGTGTCCTGTCGGCCCTTACTAACGTAAAGCCCTCGAAATCAAGTTCTATACTATCTATAGCCTGTGTCAGCCAGGTTTCTGTTACTGCGATTATATCTGGCTTTATAGAGTCAATCTGTACACCTAGTTCCGATCGCTTATTAAGTAAGCTTCGTGCATTGGTGTAACAGATCCGAAGCCTGTTTAGGTGCCTTGGTGCTTCACCCATAGTGGCTTCGGCATCATTCTCTGTCGAAGTCTTACAACCCGAAAATTTACAATTTTCAGGTCCTTTTCGCCAGCGTCTAACCTATGTTGTAGTTCTTTCTCGGCTTCCCGTCTTTTAACACGGTCTGCCAACGGTAGGTCCTTTCGGATAAAGACTCCCGAGCCCTTTAATTTGTGTCCATTTTGTAAAATTAGGTCACGTTCGTTTGAAGAGCCGAATACTACTTTAAGCAGTCTGGAATGATTTGGTTTCGAGTCCGTTAGACTCCCTAGTCTATACACCTTTAGCAAGGTGACCCCAGTCATATTCTGAGGCATGAGTTGATTAAGCAACTGCCTAATCAGTACAATATCATGCTCAAAACGAGCTTTAGGTTCAGAGCTATCGCTCTCCTTAATTCTATGAAAAATAGCTGATCTGTCGCTATGATCAGCTTTCGATTTTTCAACCAGTTTTACGGGGGCAGGTTTCCCTTTTATATCAATACTTTTCTTCCTTACAACCTTTACCCATTCGTTAACGCTGCTGGTAGAAGCAATAGCAGTTGCGTCAAAACTAGTGTTGGGTTTTGGGGGGTTGTCGACGACCTGAGGGGTCGTGTTATGTTGACCATTTGAAACCGATCGAGCCTTGCGATTGCGGCTCCCAGGTGTTTCCTGTTGGATCCCATCTGGGAGACGGGGAACAGAAGACCCTACTTTTCTTGAGCTTTTTTTTTAAGGCAGACCCCTTTGGAGACTGCTTCTCCTTCTTCGACGGGCGTGAGTCATCTATCACCGGACTCACCTTAGTTTCCTTCACATTGATTTGCGTGTCAACAGATCGAGTGCTGTTTGACGCGTTCCGACTATGCTTGTTGAAACACTTCTTTGCAGCATCAACCAGTGAGATAGCCTCGGTTAACAAGCTGTTTGCATCCGAGCAGCACTGTTGACAAAGCCACACACAACCCTTCTTACTGAACCGTTTGAAAGCAGCAGGCGTTAAGTTCGTGCAAACTTCGTGGTACCAGCCTTTGCACTCGTCGCACTGCATGCCGCTTTCAACAGGATAACGACAACCCGGACGTTGGCAACTGCTTTTTTTACACTGTCCGGTCATTTAGGAGGGGTTTTTTCAATATGCGATGATACCCAGAAACAAAAAAAAATTATCAATGACCAAAAAAAGTGAAGAGCTGTAGATTGCTAGGACCAAAAGTACTGACAGATACAGTTGAAAAAGTGGTACTAAAGAGTACCAACGACAAAACAGTAAAAACGATGCTTTAGTCGAATACTTTAACTGAAATAAATTCAATTAAAGTGAAAAACAGTAGTCTTGATACGTAATAAACGATCAAAACAATGAAATTTACTCAGCGAGGAAAAATACCACTGTCCTTTTTAAATAGCGCGCTCAGTGTGTACTTGCAGTTATTGCTACATTTTTTTACAGTGCATCTACTGGAATGTTGTCTGGTCCTTCTGCTTTGTCGATCATGATCTATCTGGCGACCACGCTGATCTTTTCAATTTTTGGTGGGCGCATCAGTCAAGCCTTGCGTTACTAACTGGCATGCTATGAAAGGTGACAATACATTTCGTGTATGTCAAGAATGTGATTTCTTAAAGATTTAGTTTATGAGATATAGAGATGAAATTAAAAGGAAGGTTGTTGTATCATTCAAAACCAATCACTTTGATGGCGAGGTAAGTTGATGCAACAAGTTATACATTTTCTCAGGATTCTTTAGATAGTTATTTTGCTTCAGCCGTTGAGAAGTGGACAAATAGTAGTTCAAGTGAACAGTTCAGTAAGTATTCAAGCGGTTTTCTGTAGCTTTCAGTTGCATTTCGAAGGAAAATCGCTCCATACGTCTTAAGCCTGAAGTTAATTATTTTTCATCAAGTAATTCTTTTTTATTGATCCTATGTTTTCTAGGATTTAATATGTCAAGAGCTGAAAACATTTTGGGAACAGTTAGGTGATACTTGTTTGCCACCAGCTTTAGAGTTAGTTCGTGATATTATATGATATTTTTGTAGTCTAGTCGCTAATTTGGCATGTGATATTAGGGAGGACTTTTTCAACCACATTGATGATTTTTTACCTCTGGTTGTTAGTGCTATAATAAGAAATTCGAAGAATGCAGAGTTTCTGGCTCATTGTTTCGAGTGCTTGTCACATTTGGTTTATTTCTTACATCGACCTATGGTTAAGAACATTCGGAAAATTTTAAAGTACTTGTCATTTCTTATTCTATCAGTCACATTAGGTGCTTTCTGCCCTTGCTATCTAACTGCTCTTCTGACATCCCAAGGTTTACAGCTGAATGTTTAGCCTTTTTGTTCAGAAAGTTTGTGGATAAAATTGCGTTGTTCCATACTTTGGAAGAAATGATTGAAAACCCTGAGGTTTGATTTAATTTTAAAGTTTTCAAAAATCATATTCAGTGCCTTGGAGCTGTGTTAGTAGAAATGTTGTCAGGTGTCGGTGAAAAAGTGCATACGACTTCTTTGGAGGTAATGCATTTTACATCTTGGAATTGTTAGATTCTTCCTTGTTTATTAGATTCTCTGTTTAGCTTAAGCTGCGATAGTAAACAATCTGTACAGTTGGATTGTAATAGCCACAAAAATGAAAATAACCCACCAGATGTTAGCAATGCCTCCATGAAGATGACAAGTCCAGTGAACGACTGCTGTTCAGTTTCGAAAAGCGTTATTGCTGTCAGTTATTCACTGTCACAATTGGTAAAGCGGTCTCCATCTTCTGAACAAATAAACTACGTTATTCAACATTTGGCCCGTCAATGTCAGCGCTTATCATCTTTTCCTAATCTTCAATATTTTCGCGAATATCTCACACTTCTGACTAGTTTCATCCAGTCACTTGCGAAATCTGAATTTATGTCTTTATTTGAAGAAAATATTAGCAAGGTCAGTTTCCTTTTTACGCAGTTATTTATTCTCTGCTACCTTTCAAATATAGTACCAGGCACAAATAAGCAAAATGTTGATACATAAAAGTTTGATTTGTTATCTTAAAACAACTTAATAATAGCTTCTTCAAGTTAATCCGATAATTTATCTGTTCTTGAATTATTTGTACTATGCCTGATATTTGTTTGATACCATATTTAGGACCAGTGTAGTACTGCAGGTTTGTGACTAATCTGTCTACGTAAAAAGTTTGTTTTGTGTCTGGCTATCCCAGGATCCTGTGGTATCTTCATCCAAATTTACTAGCGTTGGTATTTCACTGTGAGCTATTACATAGACATCACTGATCGCTTGGATCACAGATTAATGTCACGACAGCTCTAATATCATGACGAGATCAGTAAACAAGCTTTTCGAATTGACAAATAGAAAACGAGTATGGAACACATCATTTGTCTTGAATACGGTCTCGTACAGACAGTATGTATCAAAGCTAAGACTACTAAGATACAGTCAAACCCACCTGTTGTCTAAACTGCATCAGTGTCCGATCGTTGGAGGCCAAACTAAATGGCGCACGTGGTTTCGGAAAACCTGATTCAGTATTCGGTGGTAATATTCATACTTTCGAGTATTTAATAACAAAATTTGAGTTGGAAAATGAAAGTAAAAGCATTCAAAATAAAAAGTATGAATATGAGGAATTTGTGTGGAACTAGGCAATTGCAAATGTCGTTTACACAAACAGCCATGTGGAGCAAAAGCGTGTTCATATTAGTGCATGCTCTAGGATACTGTCTGGGTCCTTATATCGAAATAAATGATTTTCTTGGATCACTTTCTCAAGCCTTGACCTACAGGTCTAATCCACAGAACTGTTGGCCATCGTCAGGATAAGCAAGTGCATGGTAGCTAGTAATCAAATATTGGTTACAACCACCTAATTCGTCAGGATCCTATGGTCTATGTTCTCTGACTGTAGGATTCTTCCTCACTCCTTCGCACATTCCTCGTATCTGCCAACCCGGTTTGAGCGCCGGTTTTTCTTTTCCCGTTCTCTCGCTATGTTGATTATATCTGCCCAGGTTAAAGTAGGATAAAATAATTGTTTCAGCTCATTATTGATAGCAGTTTGTGTCAAAAGTTTCCATTATATTTACAAACGTATTAACCCCTGTAGTCAAAATAAACCAACTTTTATTCCCTGATAGTAATGCTAGCAATTAACTCATGGATTTCTATGAACTTCCTATTTACTAAAATTGAACTCTGTAATTTGGTCCAAGTAACATGACATAGTCATTGGCTACCAAGTAGATGTTTATTTGTGGGTTATAATTTTCTTTTATCTAGATCCTTATAACTTTGAACAACTGTTATTCATCACCAGACGTGCTCAACTTATGTTGCGTTTTCCTACAGTCTGTATCTACAAGATACAATCCTTATGACTTCGTAAAATCAGTAAGTTCTGATTCTTTATTTAAACTTGAGGCAAAATTAGGTAATTCAGTGTAAAACTCAAACATTAGAAAGTCGGTTTGAACTTTTGAAAAACTTGGCAAATTGGCAATACTTTGATAGAGTAAGTTAACATTAAATTTTTTTCGTTATTCAATGACCTTACTATTTCCAACAAGAAATATAAATTCCTATTTCACTCTCCATAATGCGAAAAACAATCACACTCTCAATACACAATTTCATTTTCCTGCGGTAATAGACGACGCCAGAGCGACAGCTAAAGTCCTCAGAGTCATTATAAACAACATAGAAAGTAGATTACAATCGACAGCAAATGAACTAATATATAACAGCTTCAACACGACAAAAAATAAATAAGAGTGAACTAACAAAATCAGTACCAATAAAGATTTCATGGTAAATAACAAAGAAATATCGAAAAAACACGTTTAATAATAAAACAAGTAAGCCAAATAAGAGAGACGACATCACTTAAGCATTCAGGCACTGATGTTCATTCTCTGTGATTGATTGATGCATAGACGGATAGAGTGACTGCGATTAATTTTGTTGTTTGGTTGATGTTTGTTGAGTGCACATCAGAGTCAGCTGCATTCGGTTATACGTCCACGTGTGCAGTGTTAACTGTGTGCGAAATAGACATGCGATATGATAGTGTTGGAATTATTTCCACATGATGATATTGCAACATTAGTGTTGTTGTCTAAAGTGTGAGTGTGGTGTTGATATGTTGTTATTTGTGATTGTTGCGTGTGATGTTGTTTAGTGTAGAGGGATTGAGTTGTGGTAGTTGTGTTTGTGGGAGTATGTGGTAGGTAGTGAATGTGTTTGTAGTGGTATGGTTGTTGCCCCATGATCGAGTGATCACACTTAGTGTTGATCTTATATTTCGTGGGGGAAATGGATGAGTCCTGATCGATCTACACATGTTTTGTATACTGGACATGTGTGTGAACCAATCTGGATACATGATTGTGTGTAATTGTGTAATGGATGTTTGTGTATCTGTGTTGTTTGTGATTAGTTAATATGTGTGTATTTGTGTTAGGTGTTGTTTGTTTGTTTGTTTGTTTGTTTGTGATTGTTTGACTGGTTGATTGATTGGTGTATATATTGGTTATGTTGTTTGGTTGATGTTTGTTGAGTGCACATCAGAGTCAGCTGCATTCGGTTATACGTCCACGTGTGCAGTGTTAACTGTGTGCGAAATAGACATGCGATATGATAGTGTTGGAATTATTTCCACATGATGATATTGCAACATTAGTGTTGTTGTCTAAAGTGTGAGTGTGGTGTTGATATGTTGTTATTTGTGATTGTTGCGTGTGATGTTGTTTAGTGTAGAGGGATTGAGTTGTGGTAGTTGTGTTTGTGGGAGTATGTGGTAGGTAGTGAATGTGTTTGTAGTGGTATGGTTGTTGCCCCATGATCGAGTGATCACACTTAGTGTTGATCTTATATTTCGTGGGGGAAATGGATGAGTCCTGATCGATCTACACATGTTTTGTATACTGGACATGTGTGTGAACCAATCTGGATACATGATTGTGTGTAATTGTATAATGGATGTTTGTGTATCTGTGTTGTTTGTGATTAGTTAATATGTGTGTATTTGTGTTAGGTGTTGTTTGTTTGTTTGTTTGTTTATTTGTGATTGTTTGACTGGTTGATTGATTGGTGTATATATTGGTTATGTTGTTTGGTTGATGTTTGTTGAGTGCACATCAGAGTCAGCTGCATTCGGTTATACATCCACGTGTGCAGTGTTAACTGTGTGCTAAATAGACATGCGATATGATAGTGTTGGAATTATTTCCACATGATGATATTGCAACATTAGTGTTGTTGTCTAAAGTGTGAGTGTGGTGTTGATATGTTGTTATTTGTGATTGTTGCGTGTGATGTTGTTTAGTGTAGAGGGATTGAGTTGTGGTAGTTGTGTTTGTGGGAGTATGTGGTAGGTAGTGAATGTGTTTGTAGTGGTATGGTTGTTGCCCCATGATCGAGTGATCACACTTAGTGTTGATCTTATATTTCGTGGGGGAAATGGATGAGTCCTGATCGATCTACACATGTTTTGTATACTGGACATGTGTGTGAACCAATCTGGATACATGATTGTGTGTAATTGTATAATGGATGTTTGTGTATCTGTGTTGTTTGTGATTAGTTAATATGTGTGTATTTGTGTTAGGTGTTGTTTGTTTGTTTGTTTGTTTATTTGTGATTGTTTGACTGGTTGATTGATTGGTGTATATATTGGTTATGTTGTTTGGTTGATGTTTGTTGAGTGCACATCAGAGTCAGCTGCATTCGGTTATACGTCCACGTGTGCAGTGTTAACTGTGTGCTAAATAGACATGCGATATGATAGTGTTGGAATTATTTCCACATGATGATATTGCAACATTAGTGTTGTTGTCTAAAGTGTGAGTGTGGTGTTGATATGTTGTTATTTGTGATTGTTGCGTGTGATGTTGTTTAGTGTAGAGGGATTGAGTTGTGGTAGTTGTGTTTGTGGGAGTATGTGGTAGGTAGTGAATGTGTTTGTAGTGGTATGGTTGTTGCCCCATGATCGAGTGATCACACTTAGTGTTGATCTTATATTTCGTGGGGGAAATGGATGAGTCCTGATCGATCTACACATGTTTTGTATACTGGACATGTGTGTGAACCAATCTGGATACATGATTGTGTGTAATTGTATAATGGATGTTTGTGTATCTGTGTTGTTTGTGATTAGTTAATATGTGTGTATTTGTGTTAGGTGTTGTTTGTTTGTTTGTTTGTTTGTTTGTGATTGTTTGACTGGTTGATTGATTGGTGTATATATTGGTTATGTTGTTTGGTTGATGTTTGTTGAGTGCACATCAGAGTCAGCTGCATTCGGTTATACGTCCACGTGTGCAGTGTTAACTGTGTGCGAAATAGACATGCGATATGATAGTGTTGGAATTATTTCCACATGATGATATTGCAACATTAGTGTTGTTGTCTAAAGTGTGAGTGTGGTGTTGATATGTTGTTATTTGTGATTGTTGCGTGTGATGTTGTTTAGTGTAGAGGGATTGAGTTGTGGTAGTTGTGTTTGTGGGAGTATGTGGTAGGTAGTGAATGTGTTTGTAGTGGTATGGTTGTTGCCCCATGATCGAGTGATCACACTTAGTGTTGATCTTATATTTCGTGGGGGAAATGGATGAGTCCTGATCGATCTACACATGTTTTGTATACTGGACATGTGTGTGAACCAATCTGGATACATGATTGTGTGTAATTGTATAATGGATGTTTGTGTATCTGTGTTGTTTGTGATTAGTTAATATGTGTGTATTTGTGTTAGGTGTTGTTTGTTTGTTTGTTTGTTTGTGATTGTTTGACTGGTTGATTGATTGGTGTATATATTGGTTATGTTGTTTGGTTGATGTTTGTTGAGTGCACATCAGAGTCAGCTGCATTCGGTTATACATCCACGTGTGCAGTGTTAACTGTGTGCGAAATAGACATGCGATATGATAGTGTTGGAATTATTTCCACATGATGATATTGCAACATTAGTGTTGTTGTCTAAAGTGTGAGTGTGGTGTTGATATGTTGTTATTTGTGATTGTTGCGTGTGATGTTGTTTAGTGTAGAGGGATTGAGTTGTGGTAGTTGTGTTTGTGGGAGTATGTGGTAGGTAGTGAATGTGTTTGTAGTGGTATGGTTGTTGCCCCATGATCGAGTGATCACACTTAGTGTTGATCTTATATTTCGTGGGGGAAATGGATGAGTCCTGATCGATCTACACATGTTTTGTATACTGGACATGTGTGTGAACCAATCTGGATACATGATTGTGTGTAATTGTGTAATGGATGTTTGTGTATCTGTGTTGTTTGTGATTAGTTAATATGTGTGTATTTGTGTTAGGTGTTGTTTGTTTGTTTGTTTGTGATTGTTTGACTGGTTGATTGATTGGTGTATATATTGGTTATGTTGTTTGGTTGATGTTTGTTGAGTGCACATCAGAGTCAGCTGCATTCGGTTATACGTCCACGTGTGCAGTGTTAACTGTGTGCGAAATAGACATGCGATATGATAGTGTTGGAATTATTTCCACATGATGATATTGCAACATTAGTGTTGTTGTCTAAAGTGTGAGTGTGGTGTTGATATGTTGTTATTTGTGATTGTTGCGTGTGATGTTGTTTAGTGTAGAGGGATTGAGTTGTGGTAGTTGTGTTTGTGGGAGTATGTGGTAGGTAGTGAATGTGTTTGTAGTGGTATGGTTGTTGCCCCATGATCGAGTGATCACACTTAGTGTTGATCTTATATTTCGTGGGGGAAATGGATGAGTCCTGATCGATCTACACATGTTTTGTATACTGGACATGTGTGTGAACCAATCTGGATACATGATTGTGTGTAATTGTATAATGGATGTTTGTGTATCTGTGTTGTTTGTGATTAGTTAATATGTGTGTATTTGTGTTAGGTGTTGTTTGTTTGTTTGTTTGTTTGTTTGTGATTGTTTGACTGGTTGATTGATTGGTGTATATATTGGTTATGTTGTTTGGTTGATGTTTGTTGAGTGCACATCAGAGTCAGCTGCATTCGGTTATACGTCCACGTGTGCAGTGTTAACTGTGTGCTAAATAGACATGCGATATGATAGTGTTGGAATTATTTCCACATGATGATATTGCAACATTAGTGTTGTTGTCTAAAGTGTGAGTGTGGTGTTGATATGTTGTTATTTGTGATTGTTGCGTGTGATGTTGTTTAGTGTAGAGGGATTGAGTTGTGGTAGTTGTGTTTGTGGGAGTATGTGGTAGGTAGTGAATGTGTTTGTAGTGGTATGGTTGTTGCCCCATGATCGAGTGATCACACTTAGTGTTGATCTTATATTTCGTGGGGGAAATGGATGAGTCCTGATCGATCTACACATGTTTTGTATACTGGACATGTGTGTGAACCAATCTGGATACATGATTGTGTGTAATTGTATAATGGATGTTTGTGTATCTGTGTTGTTTGTGATTAGTTAATTTGTGTTAGGTGTTGTTTGTTTGTTTGTTTGTTTGTTTGTTTGTGATTGTTTGACTGGTTGATTGATTGGTG